CACACACACACACACACACACACACACGTTAAGATGACAAAAGAAATGCCAAAATTCATGAGATAATATTTAGGGTAACTTCTACTTTTAGCCTCATCACTTTTAGCCAATCGCTCATCTATACTCAGGGTTCCCCTTCAGGTAGGGGGCGTAATTCATGTTTTTATCATGTTTTAGTCGTAAATACATTCTTGGTTTGAGCCTCTCCATGGTCAGCTGTACACACATGCATTTGTTTACAAGCTGACAGAAAAGGAACAGGCCAAGGAACCTGAGACTGGGAAGGTTAAAGTATTATGTACAAATATGATGCATAGTTTAATTTTTGCTATTACACTTTATCTGTCCCACCAGAGTTTCATGATGATATTATAAGTTTGTTGTTAGGAGGAGCTGTGACAATGACAGAGATGCCATTCTCCCTTTTATAAGTTTATTTATTCTCTGTTAAAAAAACAACAATTAAAGAGATGTTGACAATGAATTGGTTCCGCACTTTTTTACAAAGATCAAATTCCATCTTATGGACATCCCAGTTTGTAAATATTTTTGTACATTTGTGTCGTGGCACCAAAGTACCTGATGTGAGGTCATAGAGGGTGGTGACGGCAGTGATGAACTGACAGCAGAAGCGTGGGCTGGCACTGTGGATGTTCTGAAGAGTGGGGACTGAGCCTGGCACCATGCTACAGTAGTCGTCTACCAGCACCTGTGCCAGACGTACGCAGTACAAACGGTGGGATCTCTGCAAGACACAAACACAACAACAGGCTTATGTTAAGTACATCAAATATAAAGAAATATAATATAAGAAATATAAAGATGCACACAAATCTCACAATTAAATACACATCTGTTTCAAGTATGTATTGCATGCCTGTTTTAATCCTCACCTGTAGCCAGGTGGCAGCGCATTCCAAGATAGGAATCCTGCCCACAGCGACTGCCATGGAAACCAATTTGCCTAAAAGTGCCATGCGGCTTTCATCAGCCTGGTTGCCTTGGAGACTGAAGAGGGCGGAGAACATAAGCTGACGGACAGTGTCACGACTCTGCTCCTGGAAACAGCTGCACATGATCTCCAAGAGCTGGAGCTCCTGGAGAGCGCTCATTCTCTAAAGGAAACGAGAAAACACAAATAATTCTCTGTTTACATTTGCGTGGCTGTGTGTTTCTTGCACACATGCATGTCAGAATCAAGTCTTACCCTGCCAGGGGTGTTTCTGTCCTTGGGTGCGTGCAGAATGAACTCCTCTACCAGCTCCACGGTTTTGGAGTCGACCTGAGGAGGCTGCCTCCCGGACTGCACCAGGTTACAGATGTAGATGTCCAAGTGGTACAGCAGCTCCTTGGCTGCACTCAGAACATCCCGAGGCAGCAGTGACTGACGGATGTCACCCATAGCACCTGACAGACCCACGTGAAAAGTGCCATTTCAATATGAGAATGTAAAGATGTTGCAGACTTTACTTTTACATACATTGTGTAATTTAAATATCTAGCTATTGCATGACAATACATTGTTCTCAGCCTATATTACAAAGAAGAATAATGAACAACCATGTGATGGGCTCAGATTCAAGGTTAATTCCAAACTAGAGCTAGGTAACAACAAAATATCAATAATTACCGTCAATATAATGTTCATGAAGAGCAATATGACAGATTCATTATATCAATATAAAGTTTATACACTGGACAAACACACTGAGGATCACACACACACACCAATTAGTTATTTCAGATTTGTAAAATGTTTTGTTGATTGTCATTAGAAGCTCATAAAGAAGAGTTTAAAATCACAACCTTCACCCAGGAGCAGAAATCTGTCCCGCACATAACAGAAATAACATTATAACTTTCATCTTGATAACTATCAGTATCCACTGATGTGTAAAATGTTTTCTTTATCTGTTACAAACTCGTGTGTCGCGAGCTGATCGTCAAAGTCAAAGCACGTAAACTTAGTTAGCATACTATCACTGAGAAGGTTAATCAAAGTGCTCTTCAGGCTAAAGAATAAGTACATATATTTTTAAAAGTGCTCCCAGCTGTAAGTTCACTGGTGTAACGTCACGTTATTCAAGCGGAACACAAGCTCCACATTGAGTCTGTCCCTTCCTGCTGCAGCTAATGTTAGCAAGGTTAGCTAAAAACATCCCTCTCCGTTCCACAACAACCCTCGCGACTCTATATCATCACAGGAGGCTTCTCTAGATCAAAACGTGCACTTAAACGAGCCCTTACCTTGAGACGTTTAATTTTACTTAATGAATTTGCCGACGATCAGGCTGGTGAGTGATCCCAGAACGACAACGGAATCACTTCCTGTGTCTACGGAAAGCTACGTGGGACAAACGCAGTGCGGTGGACATCCACAGCATGTGCTGCGTGAACGATGTCAACAAAGACTGTGGAGTCCGTGTTTACTCACACATTATTTTACCATTTCAAAACAACACATGCATGTAAAATGTACTTTTAAGCATTTATGCTTCTCATACAGACTTATTATATATGTATATGTTATTTATAACTCAGCCATGACACCAAACAAAGAATTTAGCTTTTTTATTTTTGTCTCGCACAGAATTGCGTTGTACAAAACGATTCATCTTAATACCAATAATAATAATAATTAAAGTTACTATTATTACTATATAGGCTGTTTTTGTCCACGTCCACATTTACATTCATTTTTTTGTCTTAATACTATTTATAGATATTAGTTGTTTTGAATATTATATTATATATGCACATGATATGATATTATTGCTGATAGCAGTACTGTGTGGTGATGTGGTGGCAGCTGATCATGGACTATGATCACAGCAAGACTGCTTGATATAAATGTGCCTGCTCACATATTCTGACATTACTGACAATAACTCCATTTCAACTGTCACTGTTGCTCCCTTTGTCTCTATCAGACATTTTCTCATATGAATATTTTAAACATTGACACACTTCTCCATTATGTTAAAAACTGTTTTCTATTAAATGTTGTAAATATCATAATTACGCGCAGCATCAATTGCACTTCTGTCCGTCCTGGGAGAGGGGTCCTCACATGTGGCTCTCTGAGGTTTCTACGTTTTTCCCTGTTGATATGTTTTTTTGGTAGTTTTTCTTACTCTTGTTGAGGGTTAAGGACAGAGAATGTCGCACCTTGTTCAAGCCCTATCAGTCAGACTGCGATTTGTATGGGCGATACAAATAAAAGAAGATTGATTGATTGAAAACATACTAGACTTTAAAGTGGAGTTGCATGATTAATCGTCATGTGTTCTATGGTGCAATATGGATTTGATTGACCTTTTCCGTGTCAGACTGCAATGACTTGTAGTCGAGCTGTTTTCGCCTCTGCACAGAAACTATATATCATATTGGAAGTGACACTGTAATCCTCTCTAATCTACGCGGGGGCGCGCCCGCAGGCACCGGACCGCCTGCTGATGGAAGAAAAAAAAAAAAAGGAAGCAGCGGTGCACTCTCTGCTGCGCGCTCCCGGCAGCACTTCGGTCCTGCACTTCACCGTCCCGTCGACTGATCCCGAGAATCCTGCAAGATGACCATCAACACCCTGACCAAGGGAGGCTGGCACCGGGATCAGATGGCATGCTTTCGAAAGGTAAGGCAAAATGGTCCATACCCCCACAGAGTGTTTATATAATGTGGTAGTTACTACTGCAGATACAGGTTTTTGCAAACTAATAAATGCATTGCTGTAAGAAAACAAATTATGAAGGGTGCATTTCATTCTGTGTACTATTCAAGTAAGTATTGGATGCATGGTTAAATATGTGCATCTCTCTCTCTCTCGCTCTCTTCTGTCTTTTTCTCTCTCCATCTATGCATGTGTGTGTGTGTGTCCTCTTGACAGATGGAGAAAGTGATTGTGGCCATGCAGGACCCTGACATGGGCATGAAGATGAGAAACCAGAGGCTGCTGATCACTGTCATTCCACATGCCATGACAGGTGAGTTTGTGTGTGTACGTATGTATGTATGTATGTATGTATAACATGTCTGTACCCCTTGCTGTCAGTGTGCATTGGCATCTGTGTGTGCATGTGTGGACAGGCACATTGCAGCCGGTGTTTGTCCCAGCGGTCATGCATAATGCAGCAGTGGATTTTGGAAAATAGCACAAGCTTTGCAGAGTAGAGGGAGAACGTTTGTCCTCTTTTCTTGACTTCTTTCTCTTTTTGTCTGCAGGTCGAGATGTAATTCAATGGTTGATCCAGAAATATAACATCTGTGAGGAGGGTAAGTAGCTTCACTGATAACTTCACTGTGTGCATGTGATAGAGGATGTTGAAGGGCCTGCTTGTGATTGTCTAGGTTCAGTTTGACAGGATTGTTGTGTGTCTATGCCAATGCGTTGCCGGGATATGGTGTTTTCTCTCTCAAGCTGACTTGGTGGTGTTTCCAGTAAACAGGAGCAGGGTGAATCCCAGAGGAATCCCAGTTTGATTAACTCACATGATGATCTGGATTTGATTAAGGTCCCTGTGGAGATTTCCTCCTCAGGAGGAGGGAGGAGAGAGAAGAGCCAGTCAGCAAAAGAGAGTGATGATTAAAATGCTTTGCACGGCTTTTTACAGTTACTGCCAGTCAAAAAAGGAGGTCTCTTTAACAGATGAGTGGAGTGAAGATTGATGGGGCATTTCATCACTGGATCAAAGCCCTGATTTCAGAGAGATTGCTGGCAGCTGGAGTGTGTTACAAAACATGAGACCTTATTATATAGTTTGCCATTTGTTACAAATGAATACCTGAAAAAGACCAATGATTACTTCAAAAGTTTTGACAATTGGTCAATCACCTCAAGAATCAGAATCTGCAAAACAGTCCATTGATTAGTTTGGCTTCTGCTTCTTTATATGTGGTGTTTCACAGAGGCTCTGCACCTTGGAGGTATGCTGGTGAGATATGGGTACGTTTACCCTCTCAAGGAGCCAAGATCTCTTGTATTACGTGCTGATGAGTCGCCGTACCGTTTCCAGGTCAGTCAATTATCCCTATATGCTTTCTGCCAAGCTAAATGGTCACCTTCTCTCTATCTGTCACCCTCTCCCTCCACTAGCCCACTTCCTAATCCCACACACGTCTGCCACTTTTCCATCACCCGCTTAAAAATCTATGTCCGTCAGAAATTTAAAAATGTCACTTGTTGTACTCAGACTCCTTACTTCTGGACTAGTACCCGATGGCCTGCCACAGAACTCGACTATGGTAAGAACAATGCCAACTGAAAGAGTTCCTATTAGAGTACGGAGGCAAAAATAATGATGTATCTTTGTGAAGGAATCTGTTTCACCCTCAGGTTTTCTGTTGTTTTACCCCATCAGCAATTTATTTGGCGAAAAAGAATATAAGGAAACAAGGAGAGCTGATGGAATATGAAAAGGTGAGAAAGTGTGTGTGTATGATGAATTATGCAGCAGCGAGTGTGCTGTAATGGGCCCATGTCATCTTTCCTTTTCTTATTTTAGGAGAGGTACAGTGTGCTGCACAAGAGGATCAACCACACCTGGGACTTCGTGGTGATGCAAGCAAGAGAGCAACTCAGGTACACACACACACACACACACACACACACACACACACACACACACACACACACACAGACAGACACAGAGACAAACTTACAGTGTGATTTATCTTCAGAGCATCCAAACAGAGGCGGAAGGCCGACCGCATTGTTCTAGAATGTCAGGAGCAGGCTTACTGGCTCATCAACAGACCCCCGGTATGTTCATGTTACTCTAAATGACTCTACTGTACTCTATTTGATTCTACTCTATCCAACACTACTCTACGCTACTCTACCCAACGCTCTTCTACACAATGCTACTGTACTCCACTCTGCTTTAATCTACAATATAATACTGTACTGAAATATACCTCTATACTATACTACACCAAACGACACCACACCACACCATAATTAACGATACCATACCATACTAGACAGAATATATAAAACAGCCAGAAGTCCCACTAATGTTCACCCACAGTCCCTTCTGCATTCAGCATGAAATATTTAACCCATCTGGAAAAAGCTTGAGCTGACAACAGGAGAGAGAGAGGGAGAGAGAGAGAGAGAGGGGGGGAGGGGGAGAGAGAGAGAGAGAGAGAGAACATCACTTTCTGTCCCTCTGCATGGAGACAGCGAGACAGACAGACAGACAGACAGACAGACAGAAGGCTGGGGGTGGCAGAGGCAGGAGGCAAGAGGAAAGGATTGATGGGAAGTGTAGCAGTACTGTGGGAGTTAGAAGAGGGTGAAGCAGAGGACAAAGGTTTGGAGGAGGGACTCCATCTTGTCTGGCCCCTATGAATTAGGAACGAACGCATGGAGAAAAAGAAAGAAAGAGAAACCGGGTGCTAGCTGAGTGGAAAGCCTGGGGAAGGATAAGTGCTCACTCACACGCATCACATCTTATCAGACACACACACACATGCACACACAGTGACAAACACACTATACTTATTGGTGTGTGTATTTATGTATATTATTTTTTCCAGCCTGGGACACATAATATATTGGACATGGGTCTCGAGAGACCAAATAACTTCAGCACACGAGTTACGCTGGTCAGTGACATCATCACATATCTTAACTTCCTGTTTATATTCCACTCTGAACCATTAAGTTTAATAACACTTCGTCTATCTATCTATTTTCTTCTTGTTTTACTGCTTTCCCTCCATCTTTCTGCTGGGATTATTTCAAAGTAAGTGACCAAGTGAGGTACGGTATACTATAGAGTAGACAATTACAATATATTACCATTATAATCATGGATTTTATTAGTTTCAGGCCCTGACATGACATGATAGCAAATTCACTGTCCCACATGAGAATTGGCATTCCACAGATTATATCTTTCTGTGATTATGATTAAATATACATATTACATTCAGTATTTAATCTCAAAGGTAGACCATCAATGATCGACATGATGGCTCCCCAAAACTGAAGCCAAAGAGTTTTGATCACCCCCTGGTGGCTGGCTGCCGAATAGGGCGTAAACCCCACCTCCTCCATGAGAGCAACACATCAAATACATTTTTCTTAAAGATGGTTTCTGTCATTTTAGGTTGTTATTGTCACACTGACGTACCTTAAAGTTTTTATTCAAATTTGGATTCAATTTGATGTGATAAAAACAGGGTAAATTATTATGATAGACAGCTGAGACTGACTCGTGATTGGTCGATTGTGTGAGACCTTGATAACACAACTACATTCCCCCGATCACTGCAGGAATGTAGTGTCGTTCATCTTTATATACAGTCTATGATCAGAATATATCTTGTTTAATATTTAACACCACATGTTGTGTAGGTGAACAGATACAGACACAGATCAAATGATTTCACAGTATAAATGTGTAAAGATGTCAGCGCATGACCTAATCTGATGACGCTTTCCATTTGCAGAACTAGAACAGTGACTACTACAAAAGAGAGGTAAACATCATATATAATTCATATATCATCACTTTAAGTACATTGAGTGTATATTGTAGCTGTGTGTGTTTGTGTGTTTACAGATTGAATCCAGTAGAAGGGCCCTCGGAAGAAACCGTGTAAAGTCATCCATCTGCCTAGAGGGGTTGGTGTCACTTTGATGAAAGCACATATACAGACACACATTCACATGTACACACACACATAAGGACTAATGGATGTGATGCAGCCTGAACCAAAATGTACGTCTCTGGCACAGACTCAAACACACACACTCTATAGGGCTTAGTGCCCCCACTGTAAGAGCCACTAATGGATTCTTCCTAAGGCAAGTTGGAATTAGTGGCCATTAAGTCCTATGATCTGCAACACTAATACAATAATACTGTGTGTGTGTGTGTGTGTGTGTGTGTGTTTATGAGCAGTTTTGTGAAATACAGCGAGCAGTACCAGAATCACGATCCCATTATGCAAGGATGCCTTCCCAGTAACCCCTGGATCTCTGATGACACAGCACACTGGACAATGAACGCAGGAATGTGAGAGAACACTCACACATTATAATACACAATTTATAATAAATCTTTTCTACAGTCTATGATGGTACAATAGTAAACATACTCAAAAATCTATCTATTTTTTTCTGGTTTAAACTTTTTCACCTCCCTTTCATATTCAATCATATTAAAGTTTAAAATAAAGCATTAGCTTTTTTAATGCTCTTCTGCTAAATGCTAGTTTTTGTTAATGTTTGTGCTGTTGGTGTGTTTTTTCTATGAGCAGGGTGCCTACCCCGACACGTCTCCGAGTGGAGCGCTGGAGCTTCAGCTTCATGGAGCTTCTGAACGATGCCATGGGGCGGAGGGAGTTTATGACTTATCTGGAGAAAGAGTTCAGTGGTGAGCAAGAGTCATTAAAATGCTACTAATAGTTTACAAATGCAAAGACATAATATCCCCATACACAGCTGAGATTTTAAAGACAGTGGAAACGAATTCCTGGGTTGGCCTCCTGAATAATAAAAATATAATATAATACAATAATCACTGAGAAGCTCATTACAGTAACAATTCATTGTTATTACTATTTACCGCTAATTCATTCTTAAGTCTTATCAGGATCCAGAATTTCATCATCTTCCGTAATTATATTTTCCAGTCCCAGAGGTGAGAGATGGGTTGAGGAAGTGGAAAAGAAAATTAATTTCATGACTATCGGGAGGATGAAAAGAATACATAGGAGGGGTAGAGAGGGGAAAGGTATATGGATGTAAGAGGGAGAGAGGAAGCTCAAGGACAGAAGATGAGAAATGGGTTTTCTTACCCGCCCATTCTGCACTTTATGATATACTGCCAGGGGCCAAGGTTTTCCACAGAGGCCTCTCGTGCATTCAAATTCTCGTGTTTCACTTCATCCTTCATCACGTTGTTTTGTTGACCTCCGTCCATCCTCAGCTCCTCACTGTCTGTGTCTTTGCTCTCAGCGGAGAACCTGTGTTTCTGGCAGGCCTGCGAGGACATCAGACACGGAGAGAGCTCCAGGATCATAGAGAAAGTGGAGGAGGTGTACAAGTAAGTGTGACAGCAGGGGAACGTGCGAAAACACACTCTCACGTTTACTCTCAGGTGACGGCTGCTCTGTTGTGTGTGATTCAGAAACTTCCTGGCTCCTGGAGCTGCCCGCTGGGTCAACATCGACAGTAAGACCATGGATAAAACTCTGGAGGGGATCAAACACCCTCATCGTTTTGTTATGGACGACGCACAAATGCACATCTACTTCCTCATGAAAAAGGTCTGATCTCTGTTGTGAGCTGCATGACCATGAACCATATTCTAACACTGACAAATAAGCTTTCCAGGTTTTAAGTGATTCAACCTGAAAGAATCAGAAGCAAGAAAGCAAAAGTTAACGTATGCTGCAAATTCCACACTAGAGGAGAAACATTATATTTACACTGTTCTCGTATCGGTAACTGAAGTCACTGAAAGGCAGGGCAGTGATGTAAGAACTGTGTTCATTGCAGCATCATGTGTTGCAGACAGCAGTGGTTGTGTGTAGCAGCAGTGTTTGGCAGACCAGTGACTGTCTTGTCTCATGTGTGTGTGTGTGTGTGTGTGTGTGTGTGTGTNGTGTGTGTGTGTGTGTGTGTGTGTGTGTGTGTGTGTGTGTTTAGGACTCCTTCCCGAGATATCTCAAGTCTGACCTATACAAGAACATGCTGGCCAAAGCTATTGTCCCCCAGGAGACCAAAAAGAGGTGACATCACAGTTACATTATTCTGCTTTTCCTTTAAACTCTCATTTATTCTCCAGCATCTCACTCTCTTTCTTCTCAGCGTGTTCCCCTTCATGAGACGCCAGCGCCACTCTAGCCCGTCCCCTGCACAGGCTGTCACCCACACGTCAGAGGAGGACAGTGCCAAGGGGGCCGGGCGAGCAGGTACCAACTCTGCAGCCGGCTCCAGTGTCTGATACCAGGCCAAAAAAAAAAAAAAAAGGTGTCAGACCCAATCACTGTCCGTCTCCATTGTCTCTGTTGGTCACCATAGTAACCATCCAAGAAGTCCTCTTAGCTTAGTGTTTCATCTCAAACTGAGACGAAGTCAGAGTCTTTCTTTCAGTACAGCAACACTGTCAGTGATCAGAGCATACAACAGAGCACAGGTGTTACTGTGTGATACTATCGCAGCTTGGCATCTTATTTTCGAGCAGTGGGCAGCAGGGAAAAAAGCTTTTAGTACCACTGTTAAAGTCTGTACTGCCGCATACTCACCATGCATCTTCATCCCGTCTCTACAGAGGAGGATTAGGGTTGGACAGAAGATACAAAATGAGAAGGAGAAGATTTTTCTTTCCTTTTTCTGCATTTCGTCAAGAATAAAATAGAGGTCGAGACTAGAGTTGAAATGTCAGATGCACTTTTTCATTTCATCAATTCATCTCCACAAGGTGTTTTGTGTGGGAGTCATATTTGCTACCATTAGTACATTGATACATTCTTAAACTTTAATCTCAATTTCAAATTAAGCCTTGATATTTTGACTTTATTCTAAGATGCAAAATTTCATATAGTCCAACTTCATTACTTGAAAAATGAAAGAAAACAACTTCCTGTTCTCATTTTGTTACTCATGCCTGGCTCTAACGCTCTTCTGTACATCTCAGTCCAGAACGTCTGCCTGTTGTTATTGAGATGAACTCCTAATACCAAGCCTTCCTCTCTCCCTCAGTAGCTTTTCTAAACTGTAGAATCCTCTCTCTCTCACATCCGTTTCAGGTGCAGGGGTTGTGTTTGTATAGAATAGTGATGTGTGATATGTATTTAGTCAGAAACTGGGCTCAGCATGTCTGTGAGTGTCGTACTATCGACTTGTTTTCTTCATTTCATGCTGGAGCTTCACGTTGTGATTGTTGTTGCTGTTAATTTTGCTCGAGCATGTTTTCATCCCAATAAAATGTCAACACAGTGTTCAGTGTTTTGTTGTGTTCTTAAGTTAACTGTGTCTAAGTGTATCAGGCTTTTTACTCTTACTCAAACACTTTTCTGTTCATTTGCAGGTTTTGACATAAAGAACCATTATTTGTGTTAGGATGTTTTGACTGTAGCAGCAACATTTGGTTCCAGTTTTCTACAGTGCCACCAGTGACTGAACTGCAGACTGTATACAAACATATATATTGTCTGAATCTACAAACTCTAACTGTCACTGTTCACTTCCCTCTCATCTTCCTAAGTAAGATGCAGTTTCTTCTTCTGGATTGGCTCCCTCTACTGGCTGCATGTGTTCGAAAAATGAACAAAGGTCTAAACCTTCCTCCCAGATTAAGGACTGAGTGTGAACAGTTCAAAGCTTTAAATTCTGACTTTTACTTCTCAGACTATTTGAAAAAAATATCCAGTGTTTAAAAAGAAAAAGAGAAAAAAAAGATACATTATTAATCATCATGAAACCCCTCACATTTATCTTGGGAGCCCTTGGGATGCTCCTACCCCCAGGATGGAAACCATAGCTGTAAATATAGCATGTAAATTCAAGATCCACACAAATACAGCCGGACGTAGACTGTTGTTGAGTGAAGTCCCCTTCTAGGAGACATCTCAGGTCAAAACAACACCGGTGTTACAGCAGGACACAGCTCTGCCTGTGTAAACAGTGGGATAGTCTTCTGTTGCCTTATAGAGTTTGGATTGATCTAGAAATATATCTGGCTGACAACCTTCATTACAAGCAAGTGTGGGGTATTAAAGATGCCGACAAGAAGAATGCAAGTTGCATCATGGGAAGTGTAGGACCCAGTGTTTCTGAAGCTTGACTCATAGGGACTTGAAATCAGCATATCTCTGGCTATACTGCTTTGACTGTTCCTTTTTCAATTTGTCATGAGTGCCACAGTAAACTGCTGGGGGACCATTACAGACTAGAATAAGATTATAAATACTTTACACACCTTTTAGATGATGATGTGATCTTTAGTGGTGATCTATGTCAGCTCTGTAGGGCCTTTACATTTACTAATGGAAATAAGATATATATGGCAACACATGCGAGCGCACACACACGCACACACACGTACACACACGTATTTCAACACAGGCCCTTTCAACATTTCTGAGGATTATGATAATCTGCTTCCCTCTATTCGCCCAATCCACTCTTAGTGCAAGAGAGAGTGTGTGTCTGAGGATAAAAAAAATGTCCACATAATAAAAAGCAATGTAAAAACATTTCTCTTCATACAAAGGATTTATTTTGATAGGCTAAGTGTCTGGGTTTTCAACAGATTGGAAAGTAGGACTTAAAACCATATTTTACATCAAACATTACATTTCTTCATCCTTAAATGCAATGAGAGCAGTAGTTTGCTGTCGTTGCAGATTTTTTTTTTATTCCTACTTAAATGTGACAAAAAATAAATTATTTAAACTCACACATGAGGAAAAACACAGAAAGGAAGGCATGGCAGCGTGCAAAAATTCTAAATTACAGTGCAAATAGATAAAGCACAAACAGTGCTTAGGAAAATAAATGTGGAAAGAGTACGCAGAAGACAAAAGAGATTCACAGTCATACAGGAGGCACTGCACACAGCAATCTCAATATACATTCATTAAGTGCCCATCCATACACATACGGTGTGGGCTATGACCATTATGTAGGGAAAAAGCTTTATAATCATAAAAGTGCTTCAGAATGATTGCTGGTAAAATGAGGTGAGGTTTTCAAGAGGGAGGATAAACACACAGGACGACAGTAAGTTTCAGCACAAGCAGCGTATGCGTACTTGAACATGACCTTGAGACATTTGGTGTTTAAAGACATCGATTGTAATGAGGAGGCATCCTGTATCAGAATCACTCTACCTAAATCTGCTGCTCTGTGCACCGGCACAGTCGACCAGTGGCTGAGTGTCAGATACAGAGCAACATGCAGGGATGTTGTGAGGCTGATGTCGGTGTGATGGGAAGGCATTTGAGACAGGGTTCATCAGACTTTGGCAAACAAGCGGCTTCCTGGTTTGAAATAGTTCCTGTTAAGTAAATGTTTGTTATAACTCTTATTCAGTGTCCTGCAGTTAACTAGACCCTGTTTAGACGTGGAACTAACATCTGCCCTGAGTGATAACATCACAGGTGGACACAGCACTAAGTTAAGGACTGAACGCACCCAAATGCATGCTGAATGCGTCCTGAGATCTGATCACTCAGACTACATTCGGAGGTCTGAGTGGGACGCACTTGGTGACATTCTTTTTGCTGTGTGAATGCAAATTCATCCATGGTCACTTAAGAAGGACTATCTACTCAGCTGATGTCCTGACCCACAGTTTCAAAGTGAATCAAATGCATTTTAGTCCTCCCAGTGTCTGATCACCGCATAATGATCGATACTTTTTTCTTCATATCAGAGCTGTGCATTGATTCATTCAGCTCCTCCAAATGCCGCTGGCTCTCTCTCTCTCTCATGTGCCGACACACAAACAGATGAAAATTGAGATCTGATCATGAGCGGTCACAGGAGACACATTCAGGATGGATGTTAATTTCAGGTGGGAACAGGACACTAGTGTGTGAAAACCATGTGATACGGTTTGAAAGCTCTGCAAAACGCTTGTAGATAAACTTGGAGTTGAACCAGTTTTATCAAAACATTTTTTTTAGGACTTCAATCATACCATAAATTTTCCACCCCGGTCTGTGGGACAAATACAGGAGGAGTGTTTTCATCAACTATAAATACACCATTTTTATGAGCAAAGTCAGGGACAGATTGAATAGAAAAGATTTAAAAGCGTTCCACAAAGTGCGATTACTTATAAATATTTCAAACATTCATAGCCTAGTCTAATAAAATATGTACATATAGACTATGTACAAACGCCTGGTCTTGAGGTCAAAGGTCAGGTGGTCTGCTACCTGAAGGGTTTGATTTATTCCTAAGCTGGTGCAGAGGACCACCTTGGAGGTTTCAGCAGGTTTCAGGGTTGTTAGTGTATCTATGATGTCTGAACATTAATTTTTAAGATCCACGAGGACAGTTTCACACTAGAAGAGAATGTGATTATGAAATCAGCATATGTCAAACTATGTGACAGTGTAGAGCTCATCCTTGTCGTTCTCGCAGAGTGTGTACCCACAAACCCGGGGTCTCCAGCTCCATCTCCAGCTCCAGTTCCAGCTCCAGCCCCTGCTCCAGCCCAACGTCTCCCTGCCCTTCTCCTTCGGCGGCAGCAGGAACATCACGCAGCTGGCCATCAGGATGTGCCACAGTGAGTGTGTGTAGTAGTAGTTGTCCTCAGTTGCACCGAAAACATACAAGCATATCCCAACGAGAGCACAGGTCGCCCCCGGGATCAGGTAGAGGACCCAACGCTGCCAAGAAGGCGGATAACAATGTCGCCGCCGCACCCCTCGGGACACCTGTCACCGAAAGAGTAATGGATTTAGCTTTTCTTCTGTTCTGTGTGTGTGGATACTTGTTATCTTGTCAACTTGGGTTTTACATAATCCCTCTTTTAGTTTCCTACCCATGCCGTGACCATGATCAGCAGTGCACAGAGGATGGGGCCCAGCAGGTTCCACAGGCCTTTCCGGTCAAGTTGCATTGACATAGCAATCAGCAGAGTCCCGAGCATAAACAGACTCTAAACACACACACAGACAGACACACACATGTAACCTTATCCCTTTAAGTTTCATATTAACTCTCAGTGATGACAGAATTATGGAAAGAATAGCAACGGTCATCAGCAACGTCTTACATATTTGAACGTGTCTCTGATGCGAGCCATGCACAGGATGGTGACCCAGATGGAACAGACAGAGCCCAGGAAGTCACAGTATTGTAGGGTATCGTAGTCCATTATACACAGTACAGCTATACCCGGCTGGTCGCACGCATGGTAGAACTACACACACAAAGAGTAGAAGAGTAATCACTGTTAAATCTACAAGACAACACAGGTCGTTGTTCCCATAAATACATACTGTATGATGCACATCGATGTTTTTCAGTGATGAATTTGACCGGTGTATACATTAATCCTGGATGATGAAAATGTGTGGTAATTTTTGTGCAATCTAGCTATTAATAGCAAAACATAGTAAACAGTGACTAGCTTGCTATGATCCAACACTCTGGGAAGGTAAAATGTAATGACACAGCTACCTGCTTCACCTCTGTCTCAAAAACACATAGATATGATAAACTATTGTTCTGCAGGCCTTTTAGTTCATTATTATTTTAATGAGATCGCATGGTAGAGTAACCTGACCTGTACCAGATGATTTGTTACCAAAACCATCTGAGAAGACTTCATTTCACACAGTTTGCAAAAGGGCAGAGGCTTTTAAATATAAGGTGATTAGATGAGCCACCATATCTTTTATATTGATAAAACCTTCAGTGGCATTCTTCACTCTCCTTTCAATACAGAAATTCTTAGGTGTAAGTGATGCTACGACAGCATTTAGGAGCTGCCATTGTCGTTCATGAATAATCACTTCTCACTTTTATCGCACTAAAGACACAAAGCAGTTTCTTTATACTTATACATATATATATTACATATATATATATATATATTTATATATAATACTTATATATATTTATACAAATTTTGGGGTCTGGGAGGTTGGTCTCATACACAGACATTTGCGTTCCCATATATAACCTCTCTGGACATTGTCAGCCCCCCCCCCCCCCAAAAAAAAAAAATACAAAMATGTCTCAAAAGCAATCCAACATGTATGTGCGGGCTGTTGTTACCGTGGAGAAGAACATTGTGAAGAGGTAGACGGATGCCTCTGTGAAGTAGCAGCGTTTGATGGCCACCACAATAACAGGCAGGAAGATCACGTTACTGAGAGCCAGTAGCAGAGTTGCCGTTAGCTGGCGCCCATACGACTGAGCTGTCGAATCATCAGTGCAGCCCCAACCGCTCCAGCCTACACACACACACACGCACATATACACACACGCACGGACAAAGTGAAATTTGTGTGTGTCCAAATGGATGGCATGACAGAAATATTAAATGTTTTACCAATAAGGATACAGAAAGGACTATCATTTTAGTATAATAACAGAGAGAGTGCATTGATTGATATTAATTTAGATAATGCACAGTAAGTGTGTGTGTGTGTGTGTGTGTGAGTGTGCATGACGTACCAGCCTTGCAGACACAGGCCCCGTACAGATAGCTGTAGGATCTCAGTAGTCGACATTCACCGTATGTCCCACAATCCTCTACACAGGCACTGACAAACACCTCTGGGATCACATGCACCACTGATGTGTTACTACAATCAGTGCTGCAAGAAACAAACACACTTACTTTTTAAAAACACACAAAACAAGTAACAAGACAGCAATACCTGATCTAACAGACCCACAGAAACTGACAGACTTTAGACACAGACCTACTCAAATTTAAAGTTAAAGTAATAAATAGATAGAGATGTATAAAGGCTGCATGGTTTTGGAAAAATATTAGAATCATGATTTTCTTGATTAGAACTGAGATCACCATTCTCTCACACCATTTTCTTCAATATATATTTAAAAAAAAATTGTTTTCATTTAGATTTGTAAATATGAAAAATGTAGGAACAGGTATTGTGGTATCGTAAAAAATTTAAATTAAACATGCACCGGGATAAAGGAAAAGAAAAAAAAAACCTTTTTCATGGAGTCAAAATTAATTAATTTGTTTTATAACAAGCCATTACACAAGCATTCTCTTTTTTGTGTGAGA